GGGGGGGGGATGGGACTCCTGCTGCTACATGCACTGCAGGAGGGCGTGGGGGACATATGCCCCCAGTTCTGTGTTCAGAGGGTGGGGCAGGCTGCCACTTTGGGCTGGGGCAGGGGCAACACTGGGCTCTTCCCGGCAAGGGCTAAGCCAGGCTGCGCTCAGGGTGGGCGGTGACGGCACTGGAAGAGGGTTGGGGGGGCTATAGTGAATTCTGGAGTGGCTGCAGCCCCCCGCCTTAGCCTTGTTCCCATAGGCCCCCATGGTGAGGGAGGGAGCAGGGCTGGAACAGGGGCAGGGGCTGCCCAGCTGGGGTGGAGTGTGGGACTGAGCCACAAGCACCTTGTCCAGGGGTTGTGGGGGGTGGTGTCTCCTGCCACTGCACGCACCCTGGGAAGGAATGGGGAGCACATGCCCCTGGATCTGTGCATGGGGTAGGGTGGGGTGGGCTGGGGCTGCACCAGGCTGTTCCTGGTGGGGACTGGGCTGGGCCGGGAAGCACTTGGGGCAGGTGGCGGCAGAACTGGGAGATGGGTTGGGGGGGCTACGGTGAATTCTGGAGTGGTTGCATGCCCCCCTGTAGCCCCGCTCCTGTAGACCCCCATGGTGAGGGAGGAGTGGGGCTGGGGCTAGGGCTGGAGCAAGGGCAGGTGCTGCTCAGCTGGGGCAGCGTGCGGGACAGAGTTGCAAACAGCTCGTCCAGGGGGCATGGGTGTGGTGCCTGCCACCACTGTAGCACCCTGGGAGGGAACAGGGGGCATGTGCCCCCCGATGTGCACACGGGGTGGAGCATGGCAGGGCTTGGGCTGCTTCTGCTTTGTTCCTGGCAGGGGCTGGGCCAGGCTACGCTTGGGGCGGGCGGCAGTGACGCTTGGAGGGGGATACGGGAGGGGCTGCAGCCACCCCAAAATTCGCCGTAGCCCACCCCAACTACCCCTCCCAGCACAGCCCATCCCAACAGCCCCGCCGGGAACAGTTCGGCGCTGCCACAGCCCCAGTTCACAGCAGCCTGCTGCACCACCGCATGCTGATCTGGGGACACACTTCCCCCCCCCACGCTCCCCCTGGGATGCATGCAGTGGTAGGAGCCACCACCCCCTGTGCCCCCCGGACGAGCCACTCATTGTTCTGTCCTGTGCTCCACCCCAGCTGGGCAGCACTGGCCCCTGCTCCAGGCCCACTCCCCCCTCACCACAGGGGCCTACAGGAGCAGGGCCATGTGGGGGGCTGCAGCCACTCCAGAACTTGCTGTATTTCCTGCAATTCCCCTCCCAGCATCGCCGCTGCCTGCCCCAAGTGCAGCCTGGCCTAACCTCCACCGA